CATTCCTTTTGCTTAAGGACTGTCATATTTTTCTATTTATAATCATCTTCTTTTGACTCTTCTCTGAGATTTGCAGGTGTTGTCATTTGTTACAAAGGCAATAGTCAATAATATATTCTAATTTTAGATCAGCTATTCACTCCTGTAGTGGAACTGAGAATAATGCCAAACTAACGTCAGAAAAATCACCATCTAGGTGGTAAAGAGAAGAAATAGACTGGTTGTACTTTCCAAGATAATGACTAAACAATTAAGACAAAATTAATACACAATTTTATCTAATATTAATTTGTTTTTTATTTACATAGACCATAACATCAAATATTTACACTGGTGATATTAAGGCCCATGAGTTCCACAAGGAAGATTCTCCAATGAGTAAGATACCTACATTTACACATTGACTGTTGGAAGCTGTGTATATGTTTAGAAAACTCTCAAAATGCTTTCATGTTGATTTTCTTTAGTATGGTAACTAAGATAATGTTGTCATATAATTATAGAAAAGATTCAATGAATACTACTAAAACTTGTATAAATCTCAAATTAGACACAGTTTCAATGGCAAGTAAACAATAAGAGATAACTTGTTTAAGCTTTAAAACAACATTTAAAGCTTTGTCATATATTTTAAAACAAAATAATCATAGACTTTTACAGCTGAAATGTCTTTTAGATAGGCTATTTAGGACACTTACCCATCATCCCTGAATGTCGGCATTCAGAATGCCGTGAAATGTTTTCTGTGATAAGAATCTCCAAGCAGTGTTAAGAGAGCCAGTTCATTTTTGGAAAGATGAAACTGTTCGAAAGTTCCTTTTTATAATCAGCTAAACTCTGCCTCTCTACAACATCAAGCACTCTTGAATGACATAGATCAAAATTGTATTATTTCTCTTTTAAGTGTTCTAAGAACTCCTCATAAAATTGTAGTGCCTGGCCAGGCATGGTGGCTCATGCCTGTAATCCCAGCGCTTTGGGAGGCCAAGGAGGGTGGATTACGAAGTCAGGAGTTCAAGACCAGCCTGGCCAAGATGGTGAAACCCCGTCTCTATTAAAAATACAAAAATTAGTCAGGTGTGATGGCATGCGCCTATATTCCCAGCTACTTGAGAGGCGGAGGCAGAGAACTGATTAACCCAGAGGCGGAGGTTGCAGTGAGCTGAGATCGCGCCACTGAACTCCAGTCTGGGTGATGGAGAGGAGCTCCATCTCAAAAAAAAAAAAATGCAGTGCCCAAGCCAGGTGCTGTGGCTCATGCCAGCAACACTTTGGGAAGTCAAGGTTGGGAAGTCATTTGAGCTCAGGAGTTGGAGACTAGCCTTGGTAACATGGCAAAAACCCATCTCCACCTAAGAAATAAAAAATATTAGCTGGGTGGTGGTGTGGGCCTGACAATTCCACAAGCCTAAAATGCTACAAGAGGATTCTAATAATCCCAAATAGAAACTGAGGCAAACAAGAAGACTCCATCTACCCTCTTTTAAGGGCAAATACCAAACTTAGAAGGGATTAACACTATTAAGAATGAATAAAAAGAAAAATGCAAATAGGAAAAGTTTCTATAACAATAACAAAAAAGCATACCACTCAAGAGGTAGAGAAAGCATGTGCTTTAAAAAGGATGTTATTAATATTTTATAACGTTTTATATTATTAGTAAAATTAGCTAAAACATAGCCTCTATAAAAAAGTTTAAAAGGTGATGTAATAACTATCTGCAATTAAACAAGTGGCTGAGATATTTAAAAACTGCATGAGCAACGGTAAAGATAGCAAAAAACCCAATAATTTTAAAAAATGTTGTAAAATATGCAAATGACATAATTTTTAATGCATCAGGATAAGGAGGAAAAACATGAAAAGTTCTCCTAGAAAGCAGAATATTGGGGAAAAAAATGAGGAAAACAAATAATCGATAAGACTAACTAAAAACAAGCAAATAAAATGGAACAAAGTACAGAGAATTTGGGTTCCTCAAAAAGAACCTCAAGCATTAGAACAGAAGTAATAATCAATACCATCATAGACTAAGATATTGGGTTAATGACATTATCAGAAAAAAATCAGTGAAAGACAATTTATGAAATTATCTTGGTTGAAGTCTTAAAAATGAAGAATTTAAAATCTTCCAGGAAGAAACATGCTACCAATATATAAAAGTTAACACTTTGGGAGGCCGAGGCGGGTGGATCATGAGGTCAAGAGATCGAGACCATTCTGGTCAACAGATCGAGACCATCCTGGTCAACAAGGTGAAACCCCATCTCTACTAAAAATACAAAAATTAGCTAGGCGTGGTGGTGCACACCTGTAGTCCCAGCTACTCAGGAGGCTGAGGCAGGAGAATTGCTTGAACCCAGAAGGCGGAGGTTGTGGTGAGCCGAGATCGTGCCATTGCACTCCAGTCTGGGTAACAACAGCGAAACTCCATTTTAGAAAAAAAAAAAAGTTAAAAAATTTGGGCTTCTAGTCACCTTACAAGCTAACATATATTTTATAGTAAATTCCTTTGTAATTAAAACTAGCTAGAATGATTCTACTGTCCAGAGTAATGTTGGTAGATGATTCTATTGTCCAGTGCAAAACCGTTTCGTGTTCTTGCCATCAGTGCCTCCCCGTTTCATCAGTCAGAATTCTTCCATCCATATTTGGTGTTTTAGTAGCTTGTGTTGAAATTATTTATTTGCCGATAGATCCATATTCTTTTTCTATTGCTGCAAAAGAAATGATCACAAATTCAGTGACTTAAAACAATATCCATTTACTAGTTTACAGATATACAGCTCAGAAGTTCAGGCAGTCTCAGCTAGGCTCTCTCCTCAGTGTCTCACAAGGTTGAAATCGATGTGTTACCCTGGGTGTGCTCTTCTCTGGAAGCTCTGTAGAAGAATCTTCTTTCAAGCCCATTCAAGTTGCTACCAAAAATCCAGTCCCTGGTGCTCAAGGTCTAAGTACCCCATTTCCTTGCTGGTGGTCAGCCAGAGGCCACTCTCTTCTTCCAGAGACCTCAGAATTCCTTGTCACATGGCTCCCTCCATCTTCAAAGCTGGCCCAAAACATTGTGCTTCCATTCTGATTTCTCCTGTCACCAGCCAGAAAAAACTGCCTTTAAAGAGTTCATGAGCTCAGATTAGGCCAACCAAAGTTATCTCCCTTTCAATTAACTCAAAGTCAACTGATTAGTAACCACAATCATATCTGCAAAATCTCTTTTGCCACATAACACTACATATTCACAGAGGAAGAAATCATTCAAGAATAAGGGTCACTGGGGTCACTGGGGTCTGTGACCCCAACGCCTACCTCAGCTCTCTTTAGTTCTCTTGTTGCAGGTTGAAACCTGATTATTTTGCATTTTTTAGGCTAGTCAGTGGAGGAGAAACTAACATTATTTAGTTAGCCTGGCATCTTAAAGTCCCAATCACACTCATAGTGGGTTACATACTTATTCATATTACAGCTGTATGTGCAAAAAGTTTAAAAACATTTTCTCTATAAACGATCCAATCACTTTTGGTAAATTTCACTCTGATCACAAGAAAATGACTTAGCAAAATATATTTTAGCCTGATTTTACTAAATAGTCTTTTAAATAAATGGTGCTCACTCTCAAAGAAAAACTGCACTGGATGGCGTTAAAGAAGCAAGGAAGACTTTATTAAAGTCTACTGGAATATGGGAGTGAGATTAAACATGACTACTGAAACAAAAGGTGGCAGTTTGTAAGCACTGAGGTAAACAATTGGAAAAGCACTGGAGGACTTTAGGGTAGAGTTGGCCAATGTATTTAGGTCACCTGTATTTGCTAGTTGGCACTTATCCAAATTAGGCTCCTATGCTGCTGCAAAGACTAGGATATGAGAGCACTGTTTTTATTGGTGATTCTATTTCAGAGGATGGCTCCCAGGTCCGTGAGAAAGACATGACTGGTTGTCACACCTTCAACAGGCTGGGAGAATATTTACATCTTAAAAGGGTAGAGGAAAGAGTTTTTAATTCCAAGTTTTCTAAAGTGAATAAGAAAAGGGAGGTCAGGAATCTATAGTCAGGAGAAAACCTGTCTGCAGTTTAGTCAAGCTAAGTGGAATGTTAAGACCATTATAGTCACTATTAAGGATAAAATACCTAGAATTTTAGATTTCTACTCATTCCCTACTTCACCTCAAGAAGATATAGGAGTGTATGAAAAAATTAAAGGTCTGTAAACGTGTGTCTGATAACAAAAGATGACAACCTTAAATCCACCCAGTGTCCCCTAAACTCTTGCCTTCACTTCCACAGTAGTGACAGTCTGAATCGCTCCTTGTTAATGAACACCCAGTTGCGACTTTTTGACTTTTCTTAAGGTGGCTGTGCTGGTGCCTCCCTCTGGAATCCCTAGTTCTGTTTGCTTCCAGTCTTAAAGTCAATGTATTTTGTAACTTCTTTGTCAGATACCAGTATTCTGCCTTTCTTCTGTGTCTGTTCTCTAGAAGTAAACACAAACTCTTGTATCCATTTCATGTTTTTAATCCTAGAGAACCAGATCACTTACCTGTCTTCCAACGGCACCTCTGCATATTGCTTGCCATGTGTTAGACATGGCAAAAAGCTGAAGTTTCCTAGTAGCCTGCAACTCTGTAACACCATTACAGAAGTATGCTATACACACACACTTGCCCCAGGTATACAGTCATCTTAAACTCATCTCAATGTTTAAATCCATCTCTCCACATATTTCCACCTTCAACCCAACACACATATGCCCATATGGATCTTGGCAAGCTGACTTCTTCCCCTGACTTCTGTCACTTTTCTTCCTATCTCCTAGAGCATTCTTTTTCCTATAATTCCAAGGTCTAATACACTAGGTTTACCATTTTCTGTCTTAACAGGAGCAATCATAACTTATTAATACCTGTCTTTCATGACAATTGTATTGCTAAAGAGGTTAAACATTAATCCAAGAAACTCAGGTTTAAACTCAACCATCTTTTTTTTTTTTTTTTTTTAGGCAGGGTCTTACTCTATCACCCAGGCTGGAGTACAGCAGCACAGTCTCTGCTCACTGCAAACCTCCACCTCCAAAGCTCAGTGATCCTCACCCCTCAGCCTCATAAGTAGCTGGGACTACAGCCATGCATCATTATGCCTAGCCAAGTTTTGCATTTTTTGTAGAGACAGGGTTTTGTCATGTTGCCCACACTGGTCTCAAACTCCTGAGCTCAAGCAATCCCCCCAGCCTTGACCTCCTAAAATGCTGGAATTACAGGCGTGAGCCACCGCACCTGGCCCACATCTTTGTTTTTTGCAGTAACCACCTCCCTCTCACCTGGAGTAATATGCCACAGAATATACCTTAAGGAGGAAATTCAATTCTCCAATTTAATATTTGCAAAATGTTACCCCTATGGCAAACTCTTAAGAGATGAAGTAAACATATGGGATAGTAACCTGACTATAAAAATGTTTTTAAAGTCATAACCGACAGGTATAAAAACAAATGTCTTACAACTAGAGTGAAATTCTATCTAGCAATCTGTGCTTTCACTTTTTAACTTCTATGAAAGCATAAACACCGTTATTTTTACCATCCCTCCAAATGGAATTTATGAACCTATATTCCATTGATATAATGACTTGTGTCTTAAACATGTGACCCTTTGAAAATGTTTATCACATATACATGGAGCAAGTAAACAAGTATCACTATCTAGTTATAAGTAAAACACAACAGCTTTAACAATTTTTGCTGTTTTTAAAAAGTCCATAACTTTATTTTATATGTACACATATATATAAGGAAAGAGAAAAAAATTGTTGGCTAAATAAAGTGTTTTCACTCTGAAACCCAACTCATCATGCTATATAGCAAATATGGATTTCATTAATTTATTGAATTTTAAAGGTATACATATTGATATGTAAAATAATTTAATCCAATTTATAATTTCTTTTTCTCTATGAGTTTTTTCTAATGTTATAATGTATTACTTAAAAATCTAGTCCCATTAAATTGATGCTAAAGTTAGGAGTATGAATGTGAGTTGTTATTAGAATAAGAGAGTAAAAATAAAATCTAGTAAATAAAAACCTTAGACCTAAGATTTTTAAGGGTTGTATTACGTTTATCCAGGTGTCTCACCTGTGAAACCTGTCATTACCATCATTTTCTTACATTTTGTGCCTTTGCCATTTTCTGAGAATTCTCCTGCTTTTGACATAATCTACTTATGATTTCTACCCATGATAAAATAGGACAAATATCCTCTATCTTTGGCCACCAAGGCAAAGGTTACTGGGCCTCTAAATAGTGCTATCTCCTGCTTTTAATTTCCTATAGATATTTTAGTAATATGGCTTATTTTTAGTAATTATGACTCAAAATGTTGACCCATACATTATTACAGTTTTCTCCCTAAAACATGGTAACAAAGTTCAGAGACAATTTAAATTATTGGAGGTACAAATATTGCACACCTTGAAACTCTTACTCCTTAGTATACAGATTTATAAGTTTCATGTACCTATAGTCAATGGATTCTGTGCCACCACCTCCAAACATGCAATTAAAAAACGTTCCCTTACTTGAAGACCGTTCCCCTTCCAACATACACACACACACACACACACACACACACACACACACACTGCAATGACTTAAGGATCTAGTTACTTCCCAAGTAGCTGGGACTACAGATGGCGCCTCTACGGGTGATGCGCTTCCTGGGGTTTAGACCTCCTGACTTTTACATCTTTCCCTGAGACTTGGTTAATCTGTGCACATAGGGAGCAATCCGAAAACGTTTGTGGAATGTTGTTGAACGTCAAAAATCGCTCTGGGCTCTGTAACCTCGGTTTTCTGATAAAGATGACGAATCACCACAGGATAATTTTAGCATCCAGAGTCCAGATTACAATCGGGTTTGCAACTTTCCTAACACGCAGGTTTCACCATCTCTGCCCCGGGGAAGCAGAAGAAGAAATGCAAGAAAACTGACAGCTATGCCTTCGGCCGCCAGCTTCCAAATCGGCCAGATGATTATTAAAAACACTCCTCAGGGGCGTCACTTCAAAATGCAGTGGAGGCTGGGGCAGAGTTACGGAATCCCCGCCAGCCCGCACCTTTGTTGCCCGCTCCTCGTCGGCGCAAGGCACGCCGGGACACCGCGGAGCCCAACCACCGTCACCAAGGCAACCAGCCTGCACGCCGTTATCTTGGACACCGACAGGCGCTTCAGTGAGCCGAGCAGAGGGGCCGCCTCCGCCCGCCCCCAGCTAGGATGCTTCGCGGAGGCTATAAGGCCTCTGAAAGGCGAAGACGCTTGAGCGAGAGCCTCAGCTGGCACCAAGATCAGGCGCTGAGTAGCAGCATCTACCTCCTACGAGAGATGGGCCCCACAGGCTTCCTGTTAAGGGAGGAGGAGCCGGAAAACAAGAATTTCCGAGTAACTACCGCCCCTACCGCCTGCTGTTCGCCACCAGCCCCGCCCACCGGGTTCCCCCCCACCCCCCCAGCCAGTTCCCCCTCACCTAGGCATACCCAATGTGTGTAGCCACCATCACAATCCCTGCAGATACTTGCTGCCTCACCCCTAACAGCGTCTCCCCGCGAGTGTTCCAGACTCTAAAAGATGTGCAAATTAAGAAGGAAATAGTATTTATTAGAAGTTTCTTTTTTGGAGGTTAAGATCTCAAACTGCAACTCTTGTAAAAGATGATGGCTCTTGATCTTTAGGCTTGAAAACGTGAGAGGCTTTATATGAATATCTGGTTTGCATTACATGTGTTCTTGGATCCGTTGTTAGTGGTCATTAGTCTTGTAAATCAAACGAAATGAAAATTCTACAATCTGCTAGCATACTGGAAATATTTGCTAAATAAATAAATTGATTTCCCTTTACTCTTTGTTCACCCTGAAACTGTATGAAGGCCCTATTAAAGGGTGGTTTAAATGGCAATACCTTGGAAAGGTATTAATGAATAAAAATTCAAGTTTGCTGAAAGACAACAGATATTTCATATTTGCATATTCCATTCTTAACCACTCAAAAATCAGCCACTGTACTACCTCCTAGGAGTTCACTTACAAAATTTTATGTTATTGTCCTACAGTTTAAGAGCTGAATGCAGTTTACTAGCCTGTATTTAAAGCATTTTTAAACTTGATTACTTTAAGACTTACTGTATTTAATTGTTTTAGCCAAACTAGTCTTGGTGAATAAATTTTGTCCTCTTCAATTAAATTAAATAAATTCACCGATTCAAATATATCAAACAAAATCCAAAATGAGTTACCTTACGAAAGGTACTTAGCTGCACCGCAAAGTAGAATTGCCTTACAGTAAGGAATTTAAGGGTTCATTTTTGCTTTTTTGTTTTTTGACTTTGGAAATTAGATTTATTTCACCTGCCTAAGAGCAGGTCACTTTAAAACCATTTTAATTTGTTAAGTTGCAAACAAAGATAAATAATGAAATGAAAAAATCAGCCTACAGACTGGTATCAAGAGTTAAGATTCTCCAGAAGAAATCTATTCAACGTTTTGGAATCACCTAAACTAAACTACCTCTTCAGATCTCTTTTATTAACTCAGGTTTGCTTTAACTCTAAAATTTTGCTGATTTTTTAATGTATGCATTTTTCTTTGAAAGGTTTTTCTAGGAAATCCTCATGTTTGTAACTGTTCCACATTTCTGCAAGGAGGGGAACTTTGTAAGCATATCTGCTGGTAGGTGACATTTTAATGAAGACCTTCCACAAAGGAACATCTTGGTGTGTTACATATTTTGTCTTCTTCATGGTTTGAATAACAACAAAATTAAAGAAATGTGGTGTTAGGGGAATATAAAGTTAAAATGGTCATGGCTTAATAATAAATTTTTCAGTATTTCCCTTTATTCTGAAAATTGAATAACATTTAAATTGAGAAGCATTTTATAATGTTAATGCTTTTAAATAGAAAAAAAATCAATTTTAGTTCTCATGTACAAATGTGAAATCTAACTAAAATGGGGAAAAATCCTGATCCCACCACTGATGATAATTATGTGGTTCATTTGAGATATGGTTGTGCTTCAACAAATTGTGTTTCCAAAATCACATTTTCTTGAATAGTAAATGTTCCATTTTCTGCATTTATTCATGGGAACTGAAAGCATTCACCTTTTCCATTATTGGTCTGTGGCCATCAAGTTTCAAAATATTTTTCTTTTTTATTAACATTTGACTATGAATCGTTTTTTAAATTTTCATTTTTTAAAATTTTTATATATTTGGGGGTACACGTACAGGTTTCTCACATGCATGTATTGCATAACGATGAAGTCTGGACTTTTAGTGTACTCATCACCCCAATAGTAAGTATAGTCTCTGCTGTCTCTTATTTCACTCTGTATGTCTATGTGAGCCATTGTTTAGCTTTCACTTTTAACTGAGAACATGCAGTATTTGACTTTCTATTTCTGAATTATTTCACTTAGGATAATGGCCTCTAGTTCCATCCATGCTGCTACAAAAGACATGATTTTTAAAATTTTTATGGCTGAGTTGTATTACATGGTAGATACATACACACACATACACACATACACACACACACACACACACAGATATACATACACATTCACCACATTTTTTTTTGAGGCGGGGTTTTGCTCTCGCCCAGGCTGGAGTGCAATGGCGCCATCTCGGCTCACCGCAACCTCCGCCTCCCAGGTTCAAGCGAGTCTCCTGCCTCAGCCTCCTGAGTAGCTGAGATTACATACACGTGCCATCACGCCCAGCTAATTTTGTATTTTTAGTAGAGATGAGGTTTCTCTATGTTGGTCAGGCTGGTCTCAAACTCCCCACTTCAGATGATTTGCCCGCCTTGGCCTCCCAAAGTGCTAGGATTACAGGCGTGAGCCACTGTGCCTGGCCTATCTATATATACCACTTTTTATTTATGCAGCCTAAAATTATTTATAGTTAGGTTGATTCCATATCTTTGCTACTGTGAATAATGCTGTGATAAATATATGAGTTCAGGTATCTTTTTGATATAATGATTTCTTTCCCTGTAGGTATGTACCCTGGAATAGGGTTGCTGGCCATGGTAGCTCTAATTTTAGTTCTTTGAGAAATCTCCATTTTGTTTTCCATAAAGGTCATGCCAATTTGCATTCCTAGAAACAGTATGTAAGCATTCTTTTTCCTTCCCCAGGTCCTTATCGATGTTTGTTGCTTTTTGACTTTTAAATAATAGTCATTATAACATGTATAAGATGGTATCTCAGTGTGGTTTCAATTTACATTTCTCTTATGATTAGTGATGTCGAGCATTTTATCATATGTTTGTTGGCCACTTGTATTTTTTTTAAATGTCTGTTCATGCCCTTTGCCCACTTTTTAATGAGGTTATTGGGTTTTCAGGATATTAGCCCTCTGTCAAATAACGTAGTTTGCAGATATTTCTCACCATTCCTTAGGTTGTCAGTTTACTCTGTTGATTGCTTCATTTGCTGGTCAGAAGCTTTATAGTTAGTCTGTTCAGTTTTTCATTTGTTCTGCAGAAGCATTATTGTTTAATTAAGTCTATTAAACTATTTTTTCTTTTTGTTGCATTTGCTTATGAGGAATTGATCATAAATTCTTTGCCCAATGTCCAGAAGAATGTTTCTTAGGTTTTCTTTAAGGTTATTGTAGTTTAAGATCTCACATTTAGGTCTTTAATCCATTTTGAGTTAATTTTTGTATATGGTGAAAGCTATGGGTCCACTTTGATTCTTCTACATATAGCTACCTGATTTTCCCAGCACCATTTATTGAATAGGATGTCATTTCCCCAGCATATAATTTTGTTGACTTTGACTATAAATCTTTCAAGATAGAAGTAGAACTTTATTGAAGATTATGTCTACCAAATCTGAAATTTTTTCTCTAGTGTCAGAATCTATTTGTAGGGTAATTAACCTCTAGAAATATAAAAAAAATTTTCTTTAGTTTAAATCCAAATCAACTCATTTTGTTTTGCCTATCTATACTCCTACTAATAAATCGTTAATATTATTTTAATTTAGTTGATATTTAACATGAAAAAATAAGAAATTAAGAAAAGATTATGAGTTTCATATTTCCAATGCTTTTCTTTACAAGTAAAAAACATAGTTGTTATTTCTAATGTTTTTACCTACCAAGTTTTTTGCTCTTTCATTTTGATCAGTTTTTATTAAGCATCTAGTAACACAAGTTATTTACTCTACTTGACATAAAGATAAAATATGGTCCCTTCACAACTTACAATTTGGTATTATGATTACATTTAAAATTGTTTTTTTTTTACATTTTCATTTTATGTTAGGGCAAGGGTATTCTGTTTTCATTATTATATAACTCACTTTGTACAATATTGTAACGATTAAGTAAATGTAAATATAATAAAGTGTTTTATAATTAAAGTATATTTAGTATTTTTGAATAATAATAGGTGTTTCCCACTTTTTTTTAAAGGTCGCATTCATTTTAATTGGTAAAAATTAAAGATTTATTTTCTATTCTACATGCATAAATAGGAATTGAAAGTATTCACCTTTTCCATATTGGCCTATGGCAGTCGAATTTCAAAATATTTTTCTTTGCAATTAACATTTGACTATGAATCACTTTTTACATTTTCATTTGTTTTATTTTTATGTATTTAAGGGGTACAAGTACAGGGTTTTTTTTTTTTTTTGAGACGGAGTTTCACTCTTGTTACCCAGGCTGGAGTGCAATAGCGCGATCTCGGCTCACCGCAATCTCCACCTCCTGGGTTCAGGCAATTCTCCTGCCTCAGCGTCCTGAGTAGCTGGGATTATAATCCCAGCACTTTGGGAGGCCGAGGCGGATGGATCACGAGGTCAAGAGATCGGGACCATCCTGGTCATCATGGTGAAACCCCGTCTCTACTAAAAAAATACAAAAAATTAGCTGGGCAAGTACAGGTTTTTTACATGCATATATTGCATAGTGGTGAAGTCTGGTCCATTAAAGTGGTATATGTAGGAAAACAGCCATTTGGTACCCAATCCAGAAAATTACTCCATTTCCAAAGCAGTTTAAAGGCAGTACCGTAAGTACCTAAATCCCCTCATTATCCTTTCCCCATGAATGACTGTATGTCATTAGAAATACATGGGCTCGGCCAGGCACAGTGGGTCACGCCTGTAATCCCAGCACTTTGGGAGGCCGAGGCAGGTGGATCACGAGGTCAAGAGATCAAGACCATCCTGGTCACCATGGTGAAACCCTGTCTCTACTAAAAATAAAAATTAGCTGGGCATGGTGGCGCACGCCTGTAATCCCAGCTACTCGGGAGGCTGAGACAGGAGAATTGCCTGAACCCAGGAGGCGGAGGTTGCAGTGAGCTGAGATCATGCCATTGCACTCCAGCCTGGGTAACAAGAGCGAAACTCCGTCTCAAAAAAAAAAAACAGAAATACATGGGCTCTTTCTGACAAATTTCTTGACACCAAATGTCTTTTGTTTTCATTAATCATACTTTTTTTCACATATGGTTATTTTAAAATATAAGTTTAACAACTATTGTAACAGAAAGTTGAGTTTTAGGTTTATTCATAACACTTTCAGTAATGTAACTCATAATTCAATTTCTATTCTAAATATATGAAATGTCTTTTGAGGTTATGTCAAAAATAAATGTCTTGATTTTTTTTCTACTTGTGAATGTTAGGGTCTTGTTGAAAAAATTCAAGCTTCCGAGGAACCATGAATGTAAGTTTTGGCGTTTGAGTTTTTTGTTTTGTTATTTTATTTTACTGATTTAATATGATAATTATAAAATAAAAAATATGAGAATTTTTTATTTAACATTTTCTAAACTTAGATGGTTGTTTTTCTAGGGAATCCGGAAACTATCAGTAGCTCAGCTTGTTAAACCAAAGATACTTGGAACATTTTTCGTCTTTAAAAAAATGTAACTTTATATGTCATTTTCAAACTCATAGGCACTTAAAAACAGGTATGAAGCAATGGCTAGTTATTAAGTAGAAAAACATTTATGTATTCTAACAAAAGGTTACAGTTGGTTCTGTATCTAAAATTATTTTAATTGTGAGAAACATAGCGAATGTGATTTTTTTTAGATACCAGAAATAGACAGTTTGCATGGCACATTATATTATTCAAAAATGTTTGCTAAATGAAATTTTTTGCAAAGAGAGCAGAGTAAAAAGTAGTTTTTAGGTGAGTACTTAAATTGAGTTCAGAGCCAGTTATATAGTTATATAAGTTTAAATTCCAGAGTTCTTAAAAGCAAGAGAAAAAGAAAAGTAATTGCATTATAGGTCACTTAAATTTGTACATTTTATAATAAAGATACTGTCATGGTGAAAAGATTAACTGCAGTTGAGGAATTGTTTGACTTATATAGACCCATCTAAGAACTGCCACCATAGCATGTGTATACCTATGTAACAATCCTGCAAGATCTGCACATGTACCCCAGAACTTAAAGTAAAATTTTAAAAAACTATTAACAAATGTTTCTGATATTCATGAAGAATTAAATTGATAATTAGTTTTAATTTTTTTACTATTCAATGAGTATTGGTTTTATTTAGGCAAGTTTATTTCCCCCAGCTATTATATAATTATAACAGTAGACATATTTTAAAATTTATACCAGATAATAAATTATCATTAGTGTTTCACAGCGATTTTTCTTTTGTTCTCTTTTTCGCTCTATATATTCTATTAGAAATGTCTTCCATTTTCCATGTCTGCAACTATTAACTCTGTATCAACGATTCCCACTCTTACCAGCAGACCAGTATTTCCAGTTGCCTTCTAGGCCACTCAATTTGGAGGTTCCATGGGCATCTTAAATCCTAGATTTCTCCATCTGTGGTCCCCTTTTAGATTTCCTACCTCACATACTAGCTTTCTTTTTTATTGTCTCTTCACAGCTATAAACTTTGATATTCTCTGTGATTTTTTCCCTCTCATCCTCTTCTGCCATATATTTACACATACCACAAATCCTGCTTGTTTTATATACAACTTGTTTCTCGAGTGTTTCTCTCTCCATACTCATTCTTATCTTTGTTACACTTTCCTCAGCCCTTAGTACCATTCTGTGTAGCTTCTTTGTTTTTTGTTTTTTTAAAAAATTTTTTATTGCATTTTAGGTTTTGGGGTACATGTGCAGAACATGCAAGACAGTTGCGTAGGTACACACATGGCAGTGTGTTTTGCTTCCTTTCTCCCCTTCACCCACAGTTGGCATTGCTCCCCAGGCTATCCCTCCCCAGCTCCCCCTCCTGCTGGCCCTGCCTTTTCCCCTCAATAGACCCCAGTGTTTAGTACTCCCCTCCCTGTGTCCATGTGTCCTCATTTTTCATCACCCGCCTATGAGTGAGAATATGCGGTGTTTCATTTTCTGTTCTTGTGTCAGTTTGCTGAGAATAATGTTCTCCAGATTCATCCATGTCCCTACAAACGACACGAACTCATCATTTCTGATTGCTGCATAGTATTCCATGGTGTATGTGTCCCACATTTTCCCAATCCAGTCTATCATCAATGAGCATTTGGGTTGATTCCAGGTCTTTGCTATTGTAAACAGTGCTGCAATGAACATTTGTGTGCATGTATCCTTATAGTAGAACGATTTATAGTCCTTTGGATATATACCCAGTAATGGGATTGCTGGGTCAAATGGAATTTCTATTTCTAAGGCCTTGAGGAATCACCACACTGTCTTCCACAATGGTTGAACTAATTTACACTCCCAACAGTGTAAAAGTGTTCCTTTTTCTCCACATCCTCTCCAGCATCTGTTGTCTCCAGATTTTTTAATGATAGCCATTCTAACTGGCGTGAGATGTTATCTCAATGTGGTTTTGATTTGCATCTCTCTGATGACCAGTGATGATGAGCATTTTTTCATATGATTGTTGGCCTCATATATGTCTTCTTTCGTAAAGTGTCTGTTCATATCCTTTGCCCAATTTTGAATGGGCTTGTTTGTTTTTTCCTGAAAATCTGTTTGAGTTCTTTGTAAATTCTGGATATCAGCCCTGTGTCAGATGGGTAAACTGCAAAAATTTTTTCCCATTCTGTTGGTTGCCGATTCACTCTAGTGACTGTTTCTTTTGCTGTGGAGTTTCATTAGGTCCCATTTGTCTATTTTGGCTTTTGTTGCCAATGCTTTTGGTGTTTTGTTCATGAAGTCCTTGCCTACTCCTATGTCCTGGATGGTTTTCGCCTAGATTCCCTTCTAGGGTTTTTACGGTGCCAGGTATTATGTTTAAGTCTTTAATCCATCTGGAGTTAATTTTAGTGTAAGGTGTCAGGAAGGGGTCCAGTTTCTGCTTTCTGCACATGGCTAGCCAGTTTTCCCAACACCATTTGTTAAACAGGGAATCCTTTCCCCATTGCTTGTTTTTGTCAGGTTTATCAAAGATTGTATGGTTGTAGATATGTTGTGTTGCCTCCAATGCCTCTGTTCTGTTCCATTGGTCTATGTCTCTGTTTTGGTACCAGTACCATGCTGTTTTGATTACTGTAGCCTTGTACTATAGTTTGAAATTTGGTAGTGTGATGCCCCCCACTGTGTTCTTTTTGCTTAGAATTGACCTGGCTATGCGGGCTCTCTTTTGGTTCCATATGAAGTTCATGGTGTTTTTTTCCAGTTCTGTGAAGAAAGTCAATGGTAGCTTGATGGGGATAGCGTTGATTCTGTAAATTACTTTGGGCAGTATAGCCATTTTCACGATATTAATTCTTCCTAACCATGAACGTGGAATGTTTCTCCAACTGTTTGTGTCCTCTCTTATTTCATTGAGCAGTGGTTTGTAGTTTTTCTTGAAGAGGTCCCTTACATTCTTTGTGAGTTGTATTCCAAGGTATTTTATTCTTTTTGTAGCAATTGTGAATGGCAGTTCGTTCTTGATTTGGCTTTCTTTAAGTCTGTTCTTGGTGTAGAGAGATGCTTGTGATTTTTGCACATTGATTTTATATCCTGAGACTTTGCTGAAGTTGCTTATCAGTTTCAGGAGTTTTTGGGCTGAGGTGATGGGGTCTTCTAGGTATACTATCATGTCGTCTGCAAACAGAGACAATTTGGCTTCCACCTTTCCTATTTGAATACCCTTTCTTTCTTTTTCTTGCCTGATTGCTCTGGCTAGAACTTCCGGTACTATATTGAATAGGAGCGGTGAAAGAGGGCATCCTTGTCTAGGGCCAGATTGCAAAGGGAATGCTTCCAGTTTTTGCCCATTCAGTATGATATTGGCTGTTGGTTTGTCATAAATAGCTTTTATTACTTTGAGATACGTTCCATCGATACCGAGTTTATTGAGGGTTTTTAGCATAAAGGGCTATTGAATCTTGTCAAATGCCTTCTCTGCGTCAATTGAGATAATCATGTGGTTTTGTTTTTGGTTCTGTTTATGTGGTGAATTACATTTATAGACTTGTGTATGTTGAACCAGCCTTGCATCCGCAGGATGAATCCTACTTGATCATGATGAATAAGTTTTTTGATTTGCTGTTGCAATCGGCTTGCCAATATTTTATTGAAGATATTTGCATCTATGTTCATCATGGATATTGGCCTGAAGTTTTCTTTTCTTGTTGGGTCTCTGCTGGGTTTTGGTATCAGGATGATAATGGTCTCATAAAATGATTTGGGAAGGATTCCCTCTTTTTGGATTATTTGGAATAGTTTCAGAAGGAATGGTACCAGCTCCTCTCTGTGTGTCTGGTAGAATTCGGCTGTGAACCCGTCTGGACCTGGGCTTTTTTTGTGTGGTAGGCTCTTAATTGCTGCCTCGACTTCTGACCTTGTTATTGGTCTATTCATAGTTTCAGCTTCCTCCTGGTTTAGGCTTGGGAGGACACAGGTGTCCAGGAATTTATCCATTTCTTCCAGGTTTACTAGTTTATGTGCATAGAGTTGTTTGTAATATTCTCTGATGATGGTTTGAATTTCTGTGGAGTCTGTGGTGATTTCCCCTTTATCATTTTTTATTGCATCTATTTGGTTGTTCTCTCTTTTATTTTTAATCAATCTGGCTAGTGGTCTGTCTATTTTGTTGATCTTTTCGAAAAACAGCTCTTGGATTTATTGATTTTTTGAAGGGTTTTTCGTGTCTTTATCTCCTTCAGTTCAGCTCTGATCTTAGTTATTTCTTGTCTTCTGCTGGGTTTTGAGTTTTTTTGATCTTGCTCCTCTAGCTCTTTCGATTTTGATGATAGGGTGTCAATTTTGGATCTCTCCATTCTTCTCATATGGTCACTGATTGCTATATACTTTCCTCTAGAGACTGCTTTAAATGTGTCCCAGAGATTCTGGTATGTTGTGTCTTCGTTCTCATTGGTTTTGAAGAACTCCTTTATTTCTGCCTTTATTTCACTGTTTATCCAGTCAACATTCAAGAGCCAGTTGTTCAGTTTCCATGAAGCTGTGCGGTTCTGGGTTGGTCTCTGAATTCTGAGTTCTAACTTGATTGCACTATGGTCTGAGAGGCTGTTTGTTATGATTTCAGTTGTTTTGCATTTGCTGAGCAGTGCTATACTTCCAATTATGTGGTCAATTTTAGAGTAGGTGTGATGTGGTGCTGAGAAGAATGTGTACTCTGTGGATTTGGGGTGGAGAGTTCTGTAAATGTCTATCAGGTTTGCTTGCTCCAGGTCTGAGTTCAAGCCCTGGATATCCTTGTTGATTTTCTGTCTGGTTGATCTGTCTAATATTGACAGTGGAGTGTTAA